GGAAAGCACGTAGATACTCCAAAATTCTGCCAAGCCGACAGGCTGACTGTGATAGCCGCTCCTTTGACAGGCTGACCGTGATAGACGTCCCTTTGACAGGCTGACTGTGATAGCCGCTCCTTTGTCAGGCTGACTGTGATACTGCAAGCACAGTAACTACTTGAGATTAAACATGCGTCACAATTCATTAATGATGAATTAACATGAAGTCAGTATGTAACAAAGTCTTTAATCTGTGGTTAATTAACACATAAGTAAAAGTACAATACTACAATATTTGCACCCCCTCTTCACTGCAGAATTGGTTAGCTGTGCTCTTAGTGATTCAATGTCCTTGTCTCTGTACACAGTTCCTGTGAATTTAGCTGGAGCACAGATCAAACTCCTCGAGTGGACCCACCCCCCCACCCGGGGGCTGCTTTCGACTTTATGTCCGTCTGGCCTTTCTGCGCTGCATTCCAAGCATTCCTCTTTCCGCAGAGGTCCCGCAGCCCCTGCAGACTTGGCCACGTGTGTCGTTTCAGTCCACGCATTGTAGCACCCTCGGAATGAACTCCTGTCTGTCCATCCCGTTAAGGAACCATTAAAGTGAGACTGAAACTGATGGTGTTTTCTTTACCTTTGCTTGTCACGCATGGCTAGTTGGGCGTCAGAGACCTCGGCTTCCCAGCCCTCATTTTGTTTTTATTTACCCCCCCCATATGTCAGGTCCAGACCAAGCAGATTATGTCTAGACAGAGCCGTGCATTCTGGGAGCCCACATTCTTCAGTTTATGCTATTTCAGGCACATTTATAGATGACTCTGGAAGGGGATGTGGCAAATAGTATTGATTACTCAGTACTCAGTACTCAGTACACAGTGCATCATTTGGTTTACTTATCTGAATCCCTCTGCTTCTATAATGTTCCATAACCACTGGAGCTGGCAACGTCCAAAGCGATATAGTCAGTTATAAAATGAGGAAATTGAGCCAGATGTCTTAAACTTTGATTCATCTGACGTAAACTGTATTAAGCACAGGCTGTTTTATATAAAGACACTTTAACGAAAGATTTCTGGAATTTCCTGCAATTATATGTATCGAATTAAATCTTCAGGGTCCTCCCTGATGGCATTGCATACGATGGCTGCTGGGAGACATTTCAGTGTCTCCGTGCCTTATTTTGACCTCGCGTCCTCCAGGAACCAAGACCTCAGTTTTCTGAAATGCTGGCTGAGGTTCACCCTCGATTATGGTCTGGTTCCAAAGAAACGAAACTCCCTACAGTCAGCAGGAACTGGTGCCCGCCGCTCACAGGAAGGACATTTTTTTAGGAAGGAAGCTTCCCAGAAAGGAAGCTGATATGTAATTTATTACACGTCTTTATTTGATGCCTGACTCCATGTCTGTACTTTTTTGTTTGCACTGCAGTTTGCTTATATCCCGTTGTGCTCATTTCATTTGATTCATTTGAGTCACCTGAGACTATGAAAGCATTTGAGATTATTTTTGTTTTGGTACCACACAGTGTGAGGGACAGATAGAAGCATTCATGAATGAGCTGGAATGCAGATCTGGGTCCATAGTAGCTACAGGAAATGGAGACTGGGGAAGCAGCAGCACATGCACTTGACAGGGATAGTAGGAAGTGTCCCACATGTGTAACCGGATCTGTATCCGCAGGGCAAGGAGAATTCCCAACGTTATGCGCATCTTTTGCCGAGGCCAGTGGGTCTCATGGTCATCTTCCAGCTACCCAATCAAATGAGAACTGCTTCGCGATAAGCCCAAAGTACATTTGTTCAAGAGACTTGCCATAGTTTTAAATTGTATATTGCATTTTAAATGAGTTTTATGGATGTTTCTAACATTGTCCTCTGTCTTTCATTGTAGCCAAATACTCCATTAAGCTGTTTTGACTTTTTTTTTTATTTCATTGTTCATTATTTTAATTGGTTTTTCCAATTCCAGAATCCTAGAATCCCCTTTGCCGTCTTACGTGGTTGCATTTGCCACTGTAGTAGAGAAAGTCAGCACCTTCATCTCTTGAACTACATGGTGCAGAAAGTAGAGCAGGTCTGTGCTGCTTTGCTGAACGGCTCTTCAGGTAGCGAGATGTTATTTCAGCTGCGGTCTCCTCCAAGGCCTTCTACAGAGGCACCCTCTGTCATGCAGCTCTGCAGCGAGTTCCGCCTTGCAGGCCTCGCCTCACAGCACGTCACTCTTCCTCGCAGTGAACGACGTGGAAGAAAGCGAGGGGCTGCCATTACTGGACAAGCCGGGCTGGTACTCCCAGGGCAACTGGCCCCATCTCCACGAGCTACTGAAGAGGATGACTGGGAAAGCCGACCCAAAGGTAGGGCGGGCCTGAGTCGCAGATTGGCAGCGTGTCGTCTCCTCTTGCTGACTAATGGTGATGAGAGCGGCCTCATCACTGATCGTGCCACTCCTTAACAAACTCTTAACAAAGTATTTTTGTGGAAAAATCAGTCTAAAAATCAGTGTGACTGGAGAATCTAGTGGATATTTTACAGTACAGTAACCACTGGACAAACGCATACATGGGAATGGGCAGTATAGCATATGTAGTATAGCACGGACAGCATACCATGGGTAGTATAGCACTGACAGTATAGCATGGACAGTAAACCATGGATGGTATAGCATGAGTAGTATAGCACTGACAGTATAGCATGGACAGTAAACCATGGATGGTATAGCATGGGTAGTATAGCACTGACAGTATAGCATGGACAGTAAACCATGGATAGTATAGCATGGGTAGTATAGCACTGACAGTATAGCATGGACAGTAAACCATGGATAGTATAGCCTAGGTAGTATA